GTACCTGAGGTGTATTGTTGCTTGGGCCCAGTACCTGAGGTCTACTGTTGCTTGGGCCCAGTACCTGAGGTGTAATGTAGCTTGGGCCCAGTACCTGAGGTGTACTGTAGCTTGGGCCCAGTACCTGAGGTGTACTGTTGCTTGGGCCCAGTACCTGAGGTGTACTGTTGCTTGGGCCCAGTACCTGAGGTGTACTGTAGCTTGGGCCCAGTACCTGAGGTGAACTGTTGCTTGGGCCCAGTACCTGAGGTGTACTGTTGCTTGGGCCCAGTACCTGAGGTGTACTGTTGCTTGGGCCCAGTACCTGAGGTTACTGTAGCTTGGGCCCAGTACCTGAGGTGTACTGTAGCTTGGGCCCAGTACCTGAGGTGTACTGTAGCTTGGGCCCAGTACCTGAGGTTACTGTAGCTTGGGCCCAGTACCTGAGGTTACCGTAGCTTGGGCCCAGTACCTGAGGTGTACTGTTGCTTGGGCCCAGTACCTGAGGTGTACTGTAGCTTGGGCCCAGTACATGAGGTGTACTGTTGCTTGGGCCCAGTACCTGAGGTGTACTGTTGCTTGGGCCCAGTACCTGAGGTGTACTGTAGCTTGGGCCCAGTACCTGAGGTGTACTGTTGCTTGGGCCCAGTACCTGAGGTGTACTACTGCTTGGGCCCAGTACCTGAGGTGTACTGTTGCTTGGGCCCAGTACCTGAGGTGTACTGTAGCTTGGGACCAGTACCTGAGGTGTACTGTAGCTTGGGCCCAGTACCTGAGGTGTACTGTTGCTAGGGCCCAGTACCTGAGGTGTACTGTTGCTTGGGCCCAGTACCTGAGGTGTACTATTGCTTGGGCCCAGTACCTGAGGTGTACTGTTGCTTGGGCCCAGTACCTGAGGTGTACTGTTGCTTGGGCCCAGTACCTGAGGTGTACTGTTGCTTGGGCCCAGTACCTGAGGTGTACTATTGCTTGGGCCCAGTACCTGAGGTGTACTGTTGCTTGGGCCCAGTACCTGAGGTGTACTGTTGCTTGGGCCCAGTACCTGAGGTGTACTGTAGTTTGGGACCAGTACCTGAGGTGTACTGTAGCTTGGGCCCAGTACCTGAGGTGTACTGTTGCTTGGGCCCAGTACCTGAGGTGAACTGTTGCTTGGGCCCAGTACCTGAGGTGTACTGTTGCTTGGGCCCAGTACCTGAGGTGTACTGTTGCTTGGGCCCAGTACCTGAGGTGTACTGTTGCTTGGGCCCAGTACCTGAGGTTACTGTAGCTTGGGCCCAGTACCTGAGGTGTACTGTAGCTTGGGCCCAGTACCTGAGGTGTACCGTAGCTTGGGCCCAGTACCTGAGGTTACTGTAGCTTGGGCCCAGTACCTGAGGTTACTGTAGCTTGGGCCCAGTACCTGAGGTGTACTGTTGCTTGGGCCCAGTACCTGAGGTGTACTGTAGCTTGGGCCCAGTACATGAGGTGTACTGTTGCTTGGGCCCAGTACCTGAGGTGTACTGTTGCTTGGGCCCAGTACCTGAGGTGTACTGTAGCTTGGGCCCAATACCTGAGGTGTACTGTTGCTTGGGCCCAGTACCTGAGGTGTACTGTTGCTTGGGCCCAGTACCTGAGGTGTACTGTAGCTTGGGACCAGTACCTGAGGTGTACTGTAGCTTGGGCCCAGTACCTGAGGTGTACTGTTGCTAGGGCCCAGTACCTGAGGTGTACTGTTGCTTGGGCCCAGTACCTGAGGTGTACTGTTGCTTGGGCCCAGTACCTGAGGTGAACTGTTGCTTGGGCCCAGTACCTGAGGTGTACTGTTGCTTGGGCCCAGTACCTGAGGTGTACTGTAGCTTGGGACCAGTACCTGAGGTGTACTGTAGCTTGGGCCCAGTACCTGAGGTGTACTGTTGCTTGGGCCGAGTACCTGAGGTGAACTGTTGCTTGGGCCCAGTACCTGAGGTGTACTGTTGCTTGGGCCCAGTACCTAAGGTAGACTTGAAGGTAGACCTAAACGTAGACCTGAAGGTAGATATGAAGGTAGACCCGAAGGCAGATCTGAAGGTAGACCTGGAGGTAGAGCCGAAGGTAAACCTGGAGGTAGACCTAAACGTAGACCTGAAGGTAGACCCGCAGGTAGACCTGAAAGTAGACCTCAAGGTAGACGTCAAGGTAGACCTCAAGGTAGACCTGGAGGTAGACCTGAAGGTAGACATGAAGGTAGACCTGGAGGTAGACCTGAAGGTAGACCTGAAGGTAGACCTGAAGGTAGACCTGGAGGTACCCGAAGGTAGACCTGGAGGTAGACCTGAAGGTAGACCTGGAGGTAGACCTGAAGGAAGACCTGGAGGTAGACCTGAAGGTAGACCTAGCTGGAGGTAGACCTAGCTGGAGGTAGACCTAAAGGTGGACCTGGAGGTAGACCTGAAGGTAGACCTGAACGTAGACCTGGAGGTAGACCTGAAGGTAGACCTGGAGGTAGACCTGAAGGAAGACCTGGAGGTAGACCTGAAGGTAGACATGGAGGTAGACTTGAAGATAGACCTGTAGGTAGACCTGGAGTTATTCCTGAAGGTAGACCTGAAGGTTGACCTGGAGGTAGACCTGGAGGTAGACCTGGAGGTAGACCTGAAGGTAGACCTGGAGGTAGACCTGAAGGTAGACCTGGAGGTAGACCTGAAGGTAGACCCGAAGGTAGACCTGGAGGTAGACCTGAAGGTAGACCTGGAGGTAGACTTGAAGATAGACCTGCAGGTAGACCTGGAGGTATTCCTGAAGGTACACCTGGAAATAGACCTGAAGGTTGACCTGGAGGTAGACCTGGAGGTAGACCTGGAGGTAGACCCGAAGGTAGACCTTGAGGAAGACCTGAAGGTAGACATGGAGTTAGACGTGGAGGTAGACCTGGAGGTAGACCTGAAGGTAGACCTGGAAGTAGACCTGAAGGTAGACCTGGAGGTAGACATGGAGGTAGACTTGAAGGTAGACCTGGAGGTAAACCTGAAGGTATACATGGAGGTAGACCTGAAGGTAGACCTGATGGAAGACCTAGAGGTAGACCCGAAGGTAGACCTGAAGGTAGATCAGAAGGTAGACCTGAAGGCAGACCCGAAGTTAGACCTAGAGATAGACCCGAAGGTAGACCTGAAGGCAGACCTGAAGGTAGACTCGAAGGTAGACCTGAAGGTAGACCTAAATGTAGACCTGCAGGTAGACCTGAAGGTATACATGGAGGTAGACCTGGAAGTAGACCTGAAGGTAGAACTGATGGAAGACCTAGAGGTAGACCCGAAGGTAGACCTGAAGGCAGACCTTAAGGTAGACTCGAAGGTAGACCTGAAGGTAGACCTAAATGTAGACCTGCAGGTAGACCTGAAGGTAGACCAGCACGTAGACCTGAAGGTAGACCTGAAGGAAGACCTAGAGGTAGACCCGAAGGTAGACCTGAAGGCAGACCTGAAGGTAGACTCGAAGGTAGACCTGAAGGTAGACCTAAATGTAGACCTGCAGGTAGACCTGAAGGTATACATGGAGGTAGACCTGGAAGTAGACCTGAAGGTAGACCTGATGGAAGATCTAGAGGTAGACCCGAAGGTAGACCTGAAGGCAGACCGGAAGGTAGACTCGAAGGTAGACCTGAAGGTAGACCTAAATGTAGACCTGCAGGTAGACCTGAAGGTAGACCAGCACGTAGACCTGAAGGTAGACCTGCAGGAAGACCCGAAGGTAGACCAGCAGGTAGACTGAAGGTAGACCTGAAGGTAGACCAGCAGGTAGACCTGAAGGTAGGCCTGAAGGTAGACCTGCAGGTAGACCTGCAGTTAGACCTGAAGGTAGACCTAAATGTAGACCTGCAGGTAGACCAGCAGGCAGACCTGAAGGTAGACCTGAAGGTAGACCTGCAGGTAGACCTGAAGGTAGACCTGCAGGTAGACCTTCAGGTAGACCTGCAAGTAGACCTGAAGGTAGACCTGCAGGTAGAAATGAAGGTAGACCTGAAGGTAGACCTGCAGGTAGACCTGAAGGTAGACCTGAAGGTAGACCTGCAGGTAGACATGAAAGTAGACCTGAAGGTAGAAATACAGGTAGACAAGCAGGTAGACCTGAAGGTAGACCAGCAGGTAGACCTGAAGGTAGACCTGCAGGTAGACCTGAAGGTAGACCAGCAGGTAGATCTAAATGTAGACTTGAAGGTAGACCTGAAGGTAGTCCTGAAGGTAGACCAGCAGGTAGACCTAAAGGAAGACCTGAAGGTAGACCAGCAAGTAGACCTAAGGGAAGACCTGAAGGTAGACCTGCAGGTAGACCTAAGGTAGACCTGAAGGTAGACCAACAGGTAGACCTGAAGGTAGACCAGCAGGTAGACCTGCAAGTAGACCTGAAGGTAGAATAGCAGGTAGACCTAAAGGAAGACCTGAAGGTAGACCAGCAGGTAGACTTGAAGGTTGACCAGCAGGTAGACCTGGAGGCAGACCAGAAGGTAGACCAGCAGGTAGAACTGAAGGTAGACCTGAAGGTAGACCTGCAGGTAGACCTGAAGGTAGACCTGCAGGTAGACCTGAAGGTAGACCTGCCGGTAGACCTGAAGGTAGACCAGCAGGTAGACCTGAAGGTAGACCTGCAGGTAGACCAGCAGGTTTCTACCTGCAGGTCTACCTTCAGGTCTACCTTAGGTCTACCTTAGGTCTACCTGCAGGTCTACCTGTTGGTCTACCTTCAGGTCTACCTTAGGTCTACCTGCAGGTCTACCTTCAGGTCTACCTTCAGGTCTACCTGCTGGTCTACCTTCTGGTCTGCCTCCAGGTCTACCTGCTGGTCAACCTTCAGGTCTACCTGCTGGTCTACCTTCAGGTCTTCCTTTAGGCCTACCTGCTATTCTACCTTCAGGTCTACCTGCTGGTCTACCTGCAGGTCTACCTGCTGGTCTACCTTCAGGTCTACCTGTTGGTCTACCTTCAGGTCTACCTTAGGTCTACCTGCAGGTCTACCTTCAGGTCTTCCCTTAGGTCTACTTGCTGGTCTACCTTCAGGGCTACCTGCTAGTCTACCTTCAGGTCTACCTGCTGGTCAACCTTCAGGTCTACCTTCAGGTTTACCTGCTGGTCTACCTTCAGGTCTACCTGCTGGTCTACCTTCAGGTCTACCTGCTGGTCTACCTTAAGGTCTACCTTCAGGTCTACCTCCTGGTCTACCTTCAGGTCTACCTGCTGGTCTACCTGCAGATCTACCTTCAGGTCAACCTTCAGGTCTACCTGCTGGTCTACCTTCAGTTCTACCTCCTGGTCTACCTGCAGGTCTACCTGCTGGTCTACCTTTAGGTCTACCTGCTGGTCTACCATTAGGTCTACCTGCTGGTCTACCTTTAGGTCTACCTTCAGGTCTACCTCCTGGTTTACCTTCAGGTCTACCTGCTGGTCTACCTTCAGATCTACCTTCAGGTCTACCTGCTGGTCTACCTTCAGGTCTACCTCCTGGTCTACCTTCAGGTCTACCTGCTGGTCTACCTGCAGGTCTACCTTCAGGTCTACCTTCTGTTCTACCTTCAGGGCTACCTGCTGGTCTACCTTCAGGTCTGCCTGCTGGTCTACCTTCAGGTCTACCTTCAGGTCTACCTGCTGGTCTACCTACAGATCTACCTTCAGGTGTACCTGCTAGTCAACCTTCAGGTCTACCTCCTGGTCTACCTTCAGGTCTACCTTCAGGTCTATCTGCTGGTCTACCTGCAGGTCTACCTGCTGGTCTACCTTCAGGTCTACCTTCAGGTCTACCTCCTGGTCTACCTTCAGGTCTACCTGCTGGTCTACATACAGATCTACCTTCAGGTGTACCTGCTGGTCTACCTTCAGATCTACCTCCTGGTCTACCTTCAGGTCTACCTGCTGGTCTACCTGCAGGTCTACCTGCTGGTCTACCTGCATATCTACCTTCAGGTCTACCTTCAGTCTACCTCCTGGTCTACCTTCAGGTCTACCTGCTGGTCTACCTGCAGGTCTACCTTCAGGTCTACCTGCTGTTCTACCTTCAGGGCTACCTGCTGGTCTACCTGCAGGTCTACCTTCAGGTCTACCTGCTGGTCTACCTTCAGGACTACATTTAGGTCTACCTGCTGGTCTACCTTCAGGTCTACCTGCTTGTCTACCTTCTGGTCTACTTTCAGGTCTACCTGCAGGTCTACCTTCAGGTCTACCTGCAGGTCTACCTTCAGGTCTACCTGCAGGTGTACCTTCAGATCTACCTTCAGGTCTACCTTCAGGTCTACCTGCAGGTCTACCTTCAGGTCTACCTGCAGGTCTACCTTCAGGTCTATCTGCATTTCTTCCTTCAGGTCTACCTTCAGGTCTACCTTCAGGTCTGCCTGCTGGTCTACCTGCTGGTCTACCTGCAGGTCTATATTTAGGTCTACCTTCAGGTCTAAATGCAGGTCTACCTTCAGGCCTACCTTCAGGTGTACCTTCAGGTCAACCTGCAGGTCTACCTGCTGGTCTACCTTCAGGTCTACCTTCAGTCTACCTTCAGGTCTTCCTGCTGGTATACCTTCAGGTCTACCTGCAGGTCTACATTTAGGTCTACCTTCAGGTCTACCTCCAGGTCTACCTTTAGGTCTACCTTCAGGTTTACCTGCTGGTCTACTTTCGAGTCTACCTTCGGGTCTTCCTGCATGTCTACCTTCAGGTCTACGTGCTGGTCTACCTTCAGGTCTACCTGCAGGTGTACATTTAGGTCTATCTTCGAGTCTACCTTCAGGTCTGCCTTCAGGTCTACCTTCGGGTCTACCTTTAGGTCTAACTTCGGGTCTGCCTTCAGGTCTACCTTCGGATCTACCTTCGGGTCTACCTTCAGGTCTCCGTTTAGCAGGTCTACCAGCAGGTCTACCTCTAGATCTGAAGGTAGACCAGCAGGTAGACCTGAAGGTTGACCAGCAGGTAGACCTGGAGGTAGACCAGCAGGTTAACCTGAAGGTAGACCTGCAGATATTCCTGTATGGTATATTTCTGTTTGGTATATTTCTGTATGGTATATTCCTGTATGGTATATTCCTGTATGGTATATTCCTTTATGGTATATTTCTGTATGGTATATTCCTGTATGGTATATTCCTGTATGGTATATTCCTTTATGGTATATTTCTGTATGGTATATTTCTGTATGGTATATTCCTGTATGGTATATTCCTGTATGGTATATTTCTGTATGGTATATTTCTGTATGGTATATTCCTGTATAGTATATTCCTGTATGGTATATTTCTGTATGGTATATTTCTGTATGGTATATTCCTGTATGGTATATTTCTGTATGGTATATTTCTGTATGGTATATTCCTGTATGGTATATTTCTGTATGGTATATTTCTGTATGGTATATTCCTGTATGGTATATTTCTGTATGGTATATTTCTGTATGGTATATTCCTGTATGGTATATTCCTGTATGGTATATTTCTGTATGGTATATTTCTGTATGGTATATTTCTGTATGGTATATTCCTGTATGGTATATTTCTGTATGGTATATTTCTGTATGGTATATTCCTGTATGGTATATTTCTGTATGGTATATTTCTGTATGGTATATTCCTGTATGGTATATTTCTGTATGGTATATTTCTGTATGGTATATTCCTGTATGGTATATTTCTGTATGGTATATTTCTGTATGGTATATTTCTGTATGGTATATTTCTGTATGGTATATTTCTGTATGGTATATTTCTGTATGGTATATTTCTGTATGGTATATTTCTGTATGGTATATTTCTGTATGGTATATTCCTGTATGGTATATTCCTGTATGGTATATTTCTGTATGGTATATTTCTGTATGTATACTCCTGTATGGTATATTCCTGTATGGTATATTTCTGTATGGTATATTTCTGTATGGTATATATTCCTGTATGGTATATTCCTGTATGGTATATTCCTGTATGGTATGGTATTCCTGTATGGTATATTCCTGTATGGTATATTTCTGTATGGTATATTTCTGTATGGTATATTCCTGTATGGTATATTCCTGTATGGTATATTTCTGTATGGTATTTTTCTGTATGGTATATTCCTGTATGGTATATTTCTGTATGGTATATTTCTGTATGGTATACTCCTGTATGGTATATTCCTGTATGGTATATTCCTGTATGGTATATTTCTGTATGGTATATTCCTGTATGGTATATTCCTGTATGGTATATTTCTGTATGGTATATATCTGTATGGTATATTTCTGTATGGTATATTTCTGTATGGTATATTCCTGTATGGTATATTTCTGTATGGTATATTTCTGTATGGTATATTCCTGTATGGTATATTTCTGTATGGTATATTTCTGTATGGTATATTCCTGTATGGTATATTCCTGCATGGTATATTCCTGTATGGTATACTCCTGTATGGTATATTCCTGTATGGTATATTCCTGTATGGTATATTCATGTATGGTATATTCCTGTATGGTATATTCCTGTATAGTATATTCCTGTATGGTATATTTCTGTATGGTATATTCCTGTATGGTATATTCCTGTATAGTATATTCCTGTATGGTATATTTATGTATGGTATATTCCAGTATGGCATATTATTTGTATGGTATATTCCTGTATGGTATATTCCTGTATGGTATACTCCTGTATGGTATATTTCTGTATGGTATATTTCTGTATGGCATATTATTTGTATGGTATATTCCTGTATGGTATATTCCTGTATGGTATACTCCTGTATGGTATATTTCTGTATGGTATATTTCTGTATGGTATATTTCTGTATGGTATATTTCTGTATGGTATATTCCTGTATGGTATATTCCTGTATGGTATATTCCTGTATGGTATATTTCTGTATTTTATATTCCTGTATGGTATATTTCTGTATGGTATATTTCTGTATGGTATATTTCTGTATGGTATATTTCTGTATGGTATATTTCTGTATGGTATATTCCTGTATGGCATATTATTTGTATGGTATATTCCTGTATGGTATATTCCTGTATGGTATATTACTGTATGGTATATTCCTGTATGGTATATTTCTGTATGGTATATTCCTGTATGGTATATTTCTGTATGGTATATTTCTGTATGGTATATTCCTGTATGGTATATTCCTGTATGGTATATTCCTGTATGGTATATTTCTGTATGGTATATTCCTGTATGGTATATTTCTGTATGGTATATTTCTGTATGGTATATTTCTGTATGGTATATTTCTGTATGGTATATTTCTGTATGGTATATTCCTGTATGGCATATTATTTGTATGGTATATTCCTGTATGGTATATTCCTGTATGGTATATTACTGTATGGTATATTCCTGTATGGTATATTACTGTATGGTATATTCCTGTATGGTATATTTCTGTATGGTATATTCCTGTATGGTATATTTCTGTATGGTATATTCCTGTATGGTATATTCCTGTATGGTATATTCCTGTATGGTATATTCCTGTATAGTATATTCCTGTATGGTATATTTCTGTATGGTATATTCCTGTATGGTATATTCCTGTATAGTATATTCCTGTATGGTATATTTCTGTATGGTATATTCCTGTATGGCATATTATTTGTATGGTATATTCCTGTATGGTATATTCCTGTATGGTATATTACTGTATGGTATATTCCTGTATGGTATATTCCTGTATAGTATATTCCTGTATGGTATATTTCTGTATGGTATATTTCTGTATGGTATATTTCTGTATGGTATATTTCTGTATGGTATATTTCTGTATGGTATATTCCTGTATGGTATATTTCTGTATGGTATATTCCTGTATGGTATATTCCTGTATAGTATATTCCTGTATGGTATATTTCTGCATGGTATATTTCTGTATGGTATATTCCTGTATGGTATATTTCTGTATGGTATATTCCTGTATGGTATATTCCTGTATGGTATATTTCTGTATCGTATATTTCTGTATGGTATATTCCTGTAATGTTTTATACCACATATGACACATGACACCTGGAGTCACACATGACACACCTGGAGTCACACATGACACACCTGGAGTCACACATGACACACCTGGAGTCACACATGACACACCTGGAGTCACACATGACACACCTGGAGTCATACATGACACACCTGGCGTCACACATGACACACCTGGAGTCACACATGACACACCTGGAGTCACACATGACACATCTGGCGTCACACATGACACACCTGGCGTCACACATGACACACCTGGCGTCACACATGACACACCTGGAGTCACACATGACACATCTGGCGTCACATATGACACACCTGGCGTCAGACATGACACACCTGGAGTCACACATGACACACCTGGAGTCACACATGACACACCTGGAGTCACACATGACACACCTGGAGTCACACATGACACATCTGGAGTCACACATGACACACCTGGAGTCACACATGACACATCTGGAGTCACACATGACACACCTGGAGTCACACATGACACACCTGGAGTCACACATGACACACCTGGAGTCACACATGACACACCTGGAGTCACACATGACACACCTGGAGTCACACATGACACACCTGGAGTCACACATGACACACCTGGCGTCACACATGACACACCTGGCGTCACACATGACACACCTGGAGTCACACATGACACATCTGGCGTCACATATGACACACCTGGCGTCAGACATGACACACCTGGAGTCACACATGACACATCTGGCATCACATATGACACACCTGGCGTCACACATGACACACCTGGCGTCACACATGACACACCTGGAATCACACATGACACATCTGGCGTCACACATGACACACCTGGCGTCACACATGACACACCTGGCGTCACACATGACACACCTGGCGTCACACATGACACCTGGAGTCACACATGACACATCTGGCGTCACATATGACACACCTGGC